CTGTACGAAAATTATTTGACAGGTAAAAAATGGAAATATATAATTACAGTTGATGTGGCTTAGATATACTTATCTGATTGCAATAGAAAAAGCAATTTGCTACTGACATAGAGGACAAAAAGACTTAATATGTTGATTCAGAGAAAACAAGGAAAGCTTTTCTAAAGGTCTTACGGTTATTACTGGATTCTCTTATAATGGAAAACTTAAAATAAGGAAAGTGGGAAAAAATGTCAAAATTAATTTGGATTACTATCAGAAATATGTTTTAACATCTATTTTTAAAGAATAAATTCTGTCTCCTTATGTTTGTTATGCCTCCATGTCTGTTATATGGCAATCATGTTCAAGTAGTATGAGCAGAATGGTTAATAGGGCCTGCACTAATCTGCTCGAATATCAATGCAAGGACAAAATTCTGGATCAGATTGTCACTTGTGATTAAGTAGATTTACTTCTACAGCACAGGCCATAAAGGAGGTTCGTCTGTTTCTGGGGAGCCAGTCGACAGCATAGCAAAGCGCAATTTGACTAACAAAAAGATCATGCTTTGTATCTGGTGGGACTGCCATGGTATTATCAATGAAAAGCATATGGAAAAAAGTAAAACCCTTGACAGTAAGGTGTACAGTGAGATGCTAGTCTGCACTGCTATTGAAGGAAAACGTCAAACTGACTTCTGGTGCAAAAAGGTAATGTTCCATCAAGATAATGCAAGACCATATGTGTCTGCATTCACTGGCTGCATGCTGTTCAGACTTGAATGGTATCTTTTCTCACACCTGCCACATAGCCCTGATATCGCTCCTTCAGACTTCTACCTTTTTTCACACCTGCAGCTACATCTTGTTGGTGCTATCTTGCATTTTGCACAGGATATCCGAAATGAGGTTGATCTGTTTTTGGACTCATGGCCACCAAGTTTCTGGGCCGGCTTTGAAAAACAACCAAAATGTTGGCAGAAAATCATAGATTTGGATGGTGATTACTACCCGCATGAAAGATACTGCTTTTTTCTAACTTTATTAAGAACATTTTTTGACGGAAAAGTTTTGTTACAACCAGATATTACATGATATAATGAAGCTTTTGCTCATGAATAGGGTGAAAAAACTGTTCCTGAGAATTTTAAAAGCACAGGAATTGCTTCATTATTTATGAGTGTTGATATACAGCTTGTCCTAGAGAACAAATGCAACAGTTTGTTTTATCCAACCTGCCATTTATGTGGTGTATTTTGCAGGTTAGAAGAAATAAAATGTTGCGTAATTTCATATCCAGCCCTTTATTCGGGTGATATGTCACTTCAAAGTACTGTGATATCACTTTTAATAAGGCAAATGAGGGGATAATATGGTTAAGTAGTGGGCCTGCAATGTCCCATATATGTATCTCAGGTGCTTGGATTATTGACATTGAAATTATTGATTGTTTTGTTAGATTTTGGACTGTCTGACAATTTCAAAGATGTCTAGCATTGTCTGAATTTTATCGAAGCTAACTGAATGTGCACGGTTGATTTCACATTAGGTGAAATTAGTAAGTGTCAAATGTAGCAATGAATAGACATTAAGAATAGAAGCATTAAGAATGAACTATGAGTTTCCTTTCATTAGCCAACTAGTAGTGACATTTTGAGATTTTATAATTGCATATTTTTTTAAATGTGCATCAAAATCATTCCATCAGCAATTTATATCTTTTAACCTCTTGAATAAGCCACATAATATTTTTGCACTATATCTGCGACACCTTGCATTTTGAATTAATTATTCCTGAAGAAAGCAACATGTTATAATCACAGTGCTCAAAACTGTGAACAATAGCTTAAAGCCAGATCCAATTCCAAAAGTGTATAAAAGTTTCTTTAATAAAGTGAATTTTTATTTTTCTGATTTATCTATTGCCATTGTTAAGATATAAACTTAATTTACAGAAAACAGACTGAAATATATTAATTGAAAGTATTAATTCGTAGTATGTATTCACTAGTAATTTATTAAGGGTCAGAATGATCTCAGTGTGCAAGATTACTCTTCCTACCGTAAAAAAATTTGTGATTTCTGTTTATTTAAAATATATATATATATGTATATGGATGCCATCAAGATTATACTTTTTAATGGAATAAATTTCATTTCACAGATATGTTTGAGTTCCAATTCTTACTCAGGGCCCACCAGCGATGAAATCGTTGAACACTGGTACCTTTAAATTCTGATGAATCTGCTGGCTATATGGGGATTTGCATGTTCTTCCCTATATGTAGCATGAATATGAGCCAGTTGCTCTTAGGAAATCCTCCACAAAGGCATTCCTCCCCTAAGGCAGATATCCCTCATGTGTTTTGCCGTAATAAAATAAACCAAACTTTTATTCTTACTGAAAAAATGTTATATTAGATATATAATAAAACTTAAGACCATATCTATTGACATTTTGCAAGTGTGTTTTGTAAATGGGTTTAATAAATCACATTCTTGTAAAAATGAATGTCCTATGTGTAATGCAAGTGCAAATTAATCCTATCATTCTCTTCTTTATTTCATTGACAACATTTTTATCTGAAATTGTGAATGTAATTTATGTTCATGTGTGTTATTTATATAATATTCTTTTAATATACATTTATGGCTTTAGAAATTATAATAGAACTATACGACGGAATTTGTATTTGAAATTGTTAATGTAATTCATTTTTATGTATGTTATTTATTATATATTAATACACATTTATGACTGTGGAAAATATAATAGAACTATATACATATAAAGTTCTATTATGACGTGTGTGTGTGTATATATATATACACATGTTATTTATTATTTATTAATATACATTTATGACTGTGGAAAATATAATAGAACTATATACATATAAAATTCTATTATAACATGTGTGCATATATATACACAAACAGGGCATCTATAATTAGAGAACCCTATTTCAAAGCTGCCTACAAGCAAAACCAGTGATCAGAAAATTGTGAAATTTTGTGGTGGACTTAATAAAGAGCTGAGAATTTCTTTCAGAGGGGAGGGGGGAAGTAGTTAGTTACAAATAGCATCACCAGAGGACGTTTTACTTTGAAAACCTGTAGTAAAAATTCAAATCTGTCAAAATCATGCAGCAGCTGTTATAAAACCCAGAAACGTTCGTGGAGACTGTTTTCAGTGTACATGTTGTTCACAATGATGATTAAGTTTATTTGATTGTGCTTTGTTAGTAAATTTGTTCTACCAAAACGGTAACTATGCAGTAGTTGCTTTACGGAAATTTCAATTTTGAAGGGGATTCTAAGAGGTCCAGTTCATGTTAAAAACCTTTGGAAATTGATAACGAAATTTGAAGAAACAGGATTGCTTTCTGTTTGTCCTGAAAGAGAAAGAAAACCTTTTTCTGCAGAAGCAGTACAGGAGGTTGTGCTTCAGGTTGTAGAGGGCACAGCTTCAAACTTTCAGCCTAGCACCAGTGTCTGTCATGTAACAGAGGTTCTGTATAGACCACACTGAACTATCCATGAGATCTTGCAGAATATCATTTGATGTTATTGCGGAATATCCTCATTGGTTGCAAACTTTCATTAGTACAGCAATTGCTTCCATGTGATTTTGACACTCAACTTCGGTTCTCACTTCAGTTTATTGCTCGCTTTGAGGTCAATTCAGAATGTCTGGAATATCCTCTGTACGTACGAAGTGCATTTTCATTTGGACGATGCAGTGAATATTCACAGCTGCCAATTTGGAAATCAGAAAAATCTGCACCCTGTCTTAGAGGTTCCATTGCATTCACCAAAAGTGAGAATATGGTGTGGATTTTGTGTCATTTATTCTCAGCCCATACTTTTTTTGAGGGGTTAAGTTCCATAGGTCCAGTGGCATGTTTGATCACCAGGCAGCTACATGCATCGTCGTTAGAAAACGAAATTGTTCTATCTCTGCAAGCATGTCATTACATTGCACGCACAATCTTTATGCAAGTTGGAGCTCTTCCACATATTGCACGGTGTGTTACAAATATTAAACGGTATTTTACAGAATGTGTCATTAGCTGGCACTTTTGTAATGTGTAACCTTCCCAATCCTGAAAAGTATTTTTTTGTGATTTTTGGATTTGGGGACATTTGAAACATCTGGTAAGTCGTGACAATCCAAGGACATTACATGGTGTTAAAGCCAGCATTTCACACCACCTGCTAAATGTTTCCCAGCGCACACTTTAGTCATGCCATCTTGCGATTTCAGATGGTAGCTGGAAATGATGGCCCTCATGTGGAACATTTTTTACAATAAAATTTGTAAAATTATTGTAAATGTGTGCCTAAATGTGCAATTTATTAATATAATTTCCTCTGGTGACGCGATTTGTAACTAATTTTCTTTCATTAAAACAAATGCTCATCCCTTCATTAAGTCCACTGCAAAATTTCACAATTTTTTTGGTCACTGGTTTCGCTTGTAGTCAGTTCTGAAATAGGATTCTATTAATTATAAACACCCTGTATATACATATATAAACCAATAATTCATAATAATTTACGATAAGAAAACTTTCCATATACCATCTCCAAGGAACAGAAATTCAATTTAAAACTGCCAAAGAAAAATTTATATATAATTTAGTAGAAGGAAATTAAACCTTCCCATGAAGATGCTAAAATTGGATAAAGAAACCTATTATATTTTTAAATTATGAATTAAAATTAAAGACGATCCTTTACTATTTCTGAAAATTTTTTGCTATTTATTGAAAGTGGATATACCGATCATATTGAAAATTTATAATGCATTTTAGATTATTCATATTTTTATATTCCAGACTAACATCTTAAGTGGTAATTGTCTGAAACATAAAAACCTGAATACTGTGAGAGAGCTGTATCACGTTTTGTTCTGCATGACCATTTCATCTCATATATATATATAAGAACTGTTTTATTTAATTATAATGCAAGATATATATTTGCTTATTTTTAATAGCTGTTCTATTTTTCTAGCTATGATCGGACTATGCAAGATATTGTGTACAAATTAGTTCCAAATCTACAGCAAAGTAAGAAAATTATTTGTTTAAAATTTACAATCATTGTTACATAAATTCTTCTCTAAAAGTGGATGTGATGTTCTGTTAAAAGTTCCTCATTGGTTGATTTTTTCATCTTGGTATGATTTCGTATTTTGCTTACCAAATAAGTTTTTTACTGTAGTATTCTTACAAAGGAATGTGTGTGGCATATCATAAAGGAAGGCAAGCATAATAAAAGCTTTGACAGCAAATTTGAACAAATATTGTTTTAATATATTTGTTTTAATAGCTTCCTAATATATACTAGCAAATGTTTTTCATATTTGCATGTAAAACCATAAGGAATAATGGGAAATCGTGTCAATCATCTTACTACTAAATATTCAAAAGACAGTACTGCATAGCTCCCACTCTTCCAAGTAAAACCAGTATACTTTTCCTTTTCATAAATATTCATATCTTCCAGTTTTTAACCCCTTTGTGCCGACTGTCACGTCTATGTGCCAGCAACGAACACACTCACTTCCCGGCCGACACGCAGGCGTGCCAGAGCATTTTCCCGTTCAGCCCCAACTGTTCGCGTATTTGTGCCAGTGTCCTGGAACATTTTAAAAACTATAATTTCTGCCACAAGATGGCACCTTGGTGTTGCATTTTCAATGTCGAGCAGTGTATTATAAATTCCACCACAGATGTTGAGGTTGATAGTCTGTGAATGCTTGGCTGTAACTTACTGAATTTACAATTATCAGTATTGCCTTTTTCTCCCCCTCATGCCTCACAGATTTGGGAGCTATTAATGATGTATATTCATCAAATGAATAGTTTTTTTTAAAGGTGACTAAGTTTAAACTGTTTCAGTTTCTGGGTGAAAAAGTTTTTGAAAGTGATAAGTTGATCTAAAGAAATGGCTTATTATTAAGAACTAGTATAAAATTTAACATCATTAAATTGTATAAAGCAAGAAAAAGCTTCTGCATACCTCCATCAAAAATTCCAAAATGCAGAATCAGATATGAACTCTCATTTTACATTGTATATAAAAAATAATTTGCTTAACATAAAGTATATGTAGGTAAAACATTTGTCTGTTTAGTGATTTTAACTACTGTATCTTGCTATATAAGATGATGGTTGAATTATAAAAATATGCCCCCAGAATCCAGGGTCATCCTATAAGATGACAAGATTAAAAAAAAATTAGAATGAGATTTATATAAATTAAAACCATTATAAAACAAATCACTCACCAGTGTATTTAAAATCCTGCAAAATCTTTGCATTCATCATTTAAAACAAATAGCTCTTCAAGGACATACACTTTGATTGTTGAAAAACTCTTCATATGGGTCCCATTCCGTACCTAGCGAGTTAAAACTTCGTCTTCAGTGCTATCTTTATCATTAGAAATCCTACATTTCTTGAAGAATTTGATCATTGTTTCCACTTTTCCCCATGATTTGATCATGAAATCGTACTGTACACCAAGTGGCATAGCCCACATGGCTCCATCTTTTGTATATGACATTTCACTACTCATAATCCAGTTATTCCCATGTTCATGCATGTGATCTTTGAATCATTTAGTCAGAGATGTCTTAAGGTTGTGGAATTGCAGTTAAACCACCTGGTATAACAGCAATCTATGTATTGTTCCGTGCTAAGCAATTTTTTGTGTTCTCAGTTACATGACTGTGAAACATATCCCACACCAACAAACTGTGTTATTTTCATAGAGGATGTGGTTGCCTCTGCCTCCGAATTTCCATCCACAGTTTTACACCGTTCTTCTCTATCTACCCGCTTTTCATGAAAATGTTCAAAAATTTCTGGTGGCAGTTTTTATTTTAGTAGTCTTCCTCTTGAAAATGACAATGGGTTTCAACTGTTCCATCTGTCATGCATGTTAATACTACTTTAAACCTGGTTCTCTCATAGTATGTACTTCTGACTTGAACAGATTTTACGCCTTTTGTTACCACAGTTCTGTTCTTTATCTAGTCAAAGTTCGTGTCTCATCCGTATATCTAATATTAGGTGGTGGAGAGTTGTATTGTTGCCTCATGCCAATAACAAACTTTTGAAAATTCGTGGCTTTACAGTCAAGATCTTGTAGTGATTTCTGTACAATTTTTATTTTCTATCGCATTATCAAATTTTTTATTCTCAAGAAGCAGTTGCACAAACATGCTTTTGATTTAAATTCTTTACCTTGTTCTGGATTAGCCCATGCCCACTTCAGTGCATAAGCCCTAATCATATTCCTTGTAACAGTTCAACAGTTCTGCGTCTGTTCTTGTACCCATTCTAGAATATTGTTTTCTAAATCTGGCCCGCAAGCTATTCCTCTCTTCATAGAAAAGTTTTTCATTGGCATTTTTTAATAGCATCTTCATTTTTTCTCCAGTCTCTTACCATCTTTTCTTTTATGCTGTATCGAAAGCAGCACTTTGCTGTATCACAGTTGTTAGTTTCTTTAGCTTGTGTTATAGCGTTTAACTTGAAGCTTGCTTCATATTTCCTTTTTTTTTTTTTTTTTATTGGTTCCATGTTAGGCCACATTTCGCAGATTTTATGCTAATTTATAGTATAAATTATTTGAACACACAATGTAACATGCAACAAAACTTGTAAAAGGTACATGTGAGTTTGTGAGTCAGCATGTGCTTCTATAGGCAGTGCTGCTATATGCAAGAAAATAAAATTTGTTCCAGATGATGATTTCTGACCTAAACTAAATTCATAGGCCATTGATAGTTTTGGGGTCTTCTTATATATACAACAGATATACACTAAAACTATAAAACTTTGTGGGAAATCTATACTTCGTCTTATCTGCAGGAATATACAGTGTTCACTCCCCTTTTGGCTCTTGTGATATTTTCAAGGGGGGGAGCTTAGAACGAGGATTAGAGCTATGTTCTTTGAATAGAAGATGTAATGTAATATTTCCCCGAAAGGTGAAGATGGTGAAATCCTTAACTGCTAAAGGGTTACACTAGGACTCCAATGTGATTGATTACCAATGCATAATGATTTAAATTTCATAGAAGTTGAAATGAATGATATGAAACTTATGGATTGTTCCTGTCCATAATTTTCTTTATATCATTCTGAGCCTGAACTCCAGGAAAATAGTTTCAACCAATAGACATAGGAGAATTAAAAGTACTAAATAATTATTTTAAAGTAAATCATTATTTTTTTTTTTTTTTTTTTTAGTTTTTTTTTTTTTTTTTTTTTTTTAATGATTGTATTAAAAGAGGCTTCCTAAGCCATAAAAAAAAGTGTCATGTTTAGTTTTGTTTCAGACATGAAAAACTCTTTCCTTTTTATCAGTTTGAAAATATCATGAAGCATCGAGAATATGATGGTAAAACATTTTGACTGAGGATTTTTTAACTGTGTTATGAAATAAAGTATACAAAGGAAATGCATGACTAAACATTTTGATTTTTAAAAACTTGTTGAGCAAATGGCTGATCCTCTGAAACAAAGACAGTGTTGCATACAAAGAAGTGATATTTAAAAGATATTTTATTATTATGAAAGGTATTTTGAATTTTGCGTACAAGAAATAGCCTGGAAAGTGTGCTATTTAAAATAATGTGTTTATAGTCCGAATAAGACAAATATAATATGTTATAATATATAAATATTATATAATTGTATAAAAGTTGAATGAAAATCGGAGTTTAAAAATTAGCATATTATTTATGTGAAACATTAAAATTTTTTCATATGCATGAAACTTATTTTGTAGATGAAGTGAGGAGAGAACGAGATTTCTATAAAAGAAGAGGAATGCCTTATCCTAAAACTGTACCGAGTAAGTATGTTTACCGATTCTTTGTTGTCCATAGTTTTTTGGATTTCTATTTTTCTTGCAAATTTTCTGAAATTTATTAGTAAGGGTATCAAATATTACTGAAATTATTATAGACAACTGCACAGAAAAAGAAGCTGGTTCACAGTCATCTTCATCCAAAGTTGAGGACTCTGATTATCATAGATCTGATGAGCAAGTGAACATTTTACTGGAAGCACAAACTACAGCATTAAAACAAATGCGCCGAAAATTCATTCGGTGCTCAGCTCAAGTAACAGTAACACATTTAAAAAAGTTTATTGCAAAGAAGGTTTTTAATAATATGGATAAATACCGTGAGGTAAATGTTTATTTTCTATTTTATTTCACTTATTTCTGTGCTATTTAGACCTCCAAGTAGCCAAGCCATACATATACCTTCAAAAGTTTTGTCATAACACATTCAAGTACACAGACGTGCATTTTGAAATGTGTCCAGGCAATTAAGATAGTACATATATTAGAAGAAGAGGCAGCAAGGAACAAAGTGAGAGGGTCATGTTGGAATTATAATAAAAAGTTACCATTTACTCACAGCCTTTTTGGGGGTTGGGGCCGTACTCTTGGCTGCTTGGAGGGTTAAAAATAAAAAATTGGCTTTTCTTTGTGTGTGTGTGCGTGCTTGTGCATTCGTGTGCTCACATTGTGATATACAATTGTCAGTTTTAACATTTAAAATCTATTAAAATGTCATTTTATGAGATAATTCATAAGAGGCTTGTTGCTTGCAATTTTTGTATGGCAGTACACTACTGTAATCAAAAAGTATCAAAAATTATTCCATAAAATACAAGAGTTCCATTTATTGTTCAGTAATTTTTCCATATCTTTCAAAGTAATTTTTTCTAACTTTTCAGCTGCAGAGTACTTACCCCAATTATTGTTCAATATTTGTTCCATATCTTTCAAAGTAATTTTTTTCTAACTTTTCAGCTGCAGAGCACTTCTTCTTACCCCAATGTTTTCCCAATCTTCATATTTTAAAGCAAATTTTGGAACTCTTTCTGGTCTTGCAGCTAATTTTTTTTTCTTGCATAAGCAGACTCAAAATGATGATCATGAAATGGACGTTTTAACCATGAGATACGAGTCACATGGTGTCACATCAGGTAAATATGAAGCATGTTAATCTGTATTGAACATGCTCCATATTTACCTGATGTGAATTATTTTGTGACTTGTAAGTTTTCACCAAAGTGTCATGAACCAGAGGATTGTGAGTTTGGTGCTTCATGCTGCATGATCTTCAGTTGTGTGCTGCAGATTGCTTCATGTGAATGCTACAAAATACTGAAATATTTTGTAATAACAGAGTGGCCAGTTGGTTGAAATTCATGATGCTGTGCATCATGAGAAACTAAGAAAATAGTTAACATTACTTTGACGTTTTTTTTCAGTCTTTCATCATGTTTTTGGTTGTCATTCACTTGATTAATAAGCTGTTTTTGTACCAAAAGCACAGATCTGTTTCATCTCTGTAATATTTTTTAAAAATAACGGGCCTTGATAAATCATCTTGTTCACCACCTGAGCATATTATTTTTAGAAGATATTTCAGAATTTTAAAACAACTTTGGAAGTATCGCACCACAAACTCGAATGATCTTTAAAAATTATATGATATGATTTAGATGATAATAGGATCTTGCTTCGTAATATGAGTAATTTTTAAATAACAGCTCCTAAACACCAAATCTCAGCTTATTGCTAATTAGTATATATTGTTTAGTTAATATTGATTAGTTGATATATATAATTATTGATCAACTTATTGCTAATTAGTTGGAATGGATGCTCTTACTATTAATCTTCAGTCCTTCAGTGCCTGCCTTAAATATTTTATATTACTGAAGTAACTCTTGATTCAGAGTATTTTTGGAACACTTTGTGTGTTTTTGCAGCTACATTCACTGTGCAAAAAACAATATTTAATGTCTGTTCTTAACTCAGTTGCTTCTGCTATTTTAGGAAATTACCAAAGCAGAATTTCATTGTATAATTTTTTTTTAAATCGCAAAGTTGTCAGATTCCATCATTCCAAATTATAAAGTTGCCAGTCAGCATACCAACTTCTGAAAAAAAAACTGCAAGTGATTGCTTGCATGTGCATATTTTAAATGAATAATTCCTGACCCCCTCTTTTTTCAAATTATGGTAGTATTTCATACAAGATGAGTACTTTGCAACAAAGTGACATCTTTGGCAGCAATGCTACTGTTTTAGTCTAGGCTGTTATATCAGAGCTGAGAAATATCTTATAGATACCAGTAATAGTTGAGATTATATGCTTTCAGTTGCTTATCATGAACTAGGAAAGCAAAAAACTTATGCATTAACAGAAAAAGAAAACTTGTGTATCTACTAAGCTAAGCGAAGGAACAAAGAAAACGAACACTAAAGAAACAAAACAATTTTATTAATGCTAATTGCCTGACAAACATTCAGCAGACATACTCAAAAAGTTGCCTAAACTGAGTCTAGTGGCTAAGTGAACAGTTTTCGTTTTCTGCTCATTGAAATTTCAATACATAAAATTTACTATTTAATTATTTAAATGTACTATTTTATAATTTTAAGAGTAATTAGGTCTGTATACCATTTATAAAAAGCTAATAGGTAATATATTTCATCATGAAAATAGGCTTCAATAATATGAAAGATCTATGAATATTATAAAAGGACCAGAAATAATTCACTAAATATACAATCTTCAAATTTTTAGAGCATTTCCACTTTCAAATCAAAAAACACTATTTTCAATGAAGTGTGCAAATAATGTAGCTCTCTAAGCATTGTTGTCCTCAATAGACAACAAAAATATTTTAGTAATACACCAGATATATACACCATTTGTTGTTTTCACTTTATTCTTTTATTATCTTTACCAGGTAAAACTTCTGTAATTCCAGCTGAATAGTTTTTAAATGGGAGAAGGTCATCTTCCCTTAATAGAAAAAAACGTGCCTTCCTTTTAATTTTCTTTATTAATAAATCATTTGATGTGCTGCTGAAGATGGTATAAGTAATCATTTTGGCAACATTTTTGTATAATTTGAATGGATTTAGTAATAATTTTCCATCTAGGTAGTCTGGTTTTGCAGATGAAATTTTCCATCTGCAAAATGCTATAAATCAGCTTTAGAATAAGAAGTAATAAAACATTCAATCAAAAATGAACATTAAGACCTGGAGATCATTTAAATTTGTTGACAAAGGTAGAACTGGATGAGAATTGAAAATGACTTCCATTTGTGTGACAACCATTCAAAGTTATTCTAAAGTCGATTTATAATTGTTGATTGTGCACTGAAGACGCTGTTTAAGTGACTTATGCCTGCTTTCCACGAGACTCCAAATTGTAGTGCCATAAGTGGAATCTGTTTCCAATTTATGCCTTCAGACAGGGTTGCCACGCTACCAAGAAAACCGGAAAAAGTCAGGGAATTCGGAAATTGACCAAAAAAATTCAGGGAAAAGTCAGGGAATTTAAGTGTTTAGTCAAAATCTGGAAAAGTCGGGGAATTTCATACAACGATCCCGCCAAAAAAGGCGAGTTTTGCGCCGACGTCGGAAGAGATCACTTTTTTGGCGAATTGTGTATCACGTGAGTGTCATTCGGGCAGCTGGCATAGAGCCAATTTTTGCAGCTCCAGTTTGATTGTCTTTTAGAAAGGCAAAGCAAGTTTCCCGCAACGTTTGGTTTCCAGTAACCTCACGAATCGCATGTGCAGTGCATGAACTAAAGAAAGTACCTGTTCTCATATACAACAAAATGGGTTTAATCCTAGTATACGGTACATGAAGGTTAGAATCAAAGAATATGTATTATAAAGAAGGAAAACCTCTCTGCAACAGACGTGGCTCCATTCCATCATAGAGGGAAACAGCTGTGCATGTGCGATATATCTGTCGCCAAAACTCGAAACCGGTGTTGAAGTTCGAAAGTCACGTTATCAAGAGTTCTTAAAATGAATATTGTTTAAAATTTCTTTAAACTCTAAAGGAAAAGAAAATATTTTTTGGCGCAAGTAAATTAATTCATAGATTAGTTATTTTGAGGTTAAAAAAAATAAAAAAGAAAAGAAAAAAAAAATATACGAAAATCTGTTTTTAAAATTTTTGCGAAAAATCCAAGAAAAAACGTTCTTTGATAAAACGTTTCTTCTTGGATTTTTCGCAATAAATTAAAAACGCATTTTCGTAGTTTTTTTTTTTTTTTTTTTGTTTTGTTTTTGTTTTTTGTCAAAGAACGTTTCTTCTTAACACGTGTTTCTCAATTTCCTGTACACATCGCGGAGAGGGAAATTCTGCCCGCCAGGTTACATCACCAAATCTCTTGGCAAATTTTCCCTCCGCTTTCTAGAGGCGTAATAACATTTACGTGTATGAAACCTTTTCCACTTTACAAAGACGTTCTTTGGTTAGAATCTCCATGTATGGTACAGCGGGATTTGGCGACATGATGATGAGCAGTAAACGGCTCATTTTGTTCTTGGCGACAATTTTCAAAATCGTGTGAAGGCCGTAATAATGTATACTAGGATTTTACCGCAAAATCTTTTTAAACCTTTTTTTTTCTTTTCTTTTTAATAAATACCTTGTCATTTTGCAGTAAAATAAAAAAAATAGTAATCAGTCATCTAGGCTATCCATGTAATATAACTATATTCGCTAAAATATCGTTGATTATTCTAATTCAATTTCTAAGTAATTATTTTTATGTTATTCATATCATTTAATGTTACTTCTTCCCTCTAAATTTATTTATCATTAGTAAATAATATTTCCAAATTTTAGGAAATTTTCTCTGGCACAGTCCTGAAATTAATCGTAGCAGTATGATGACATACCATCACGAAATTTAATGCACTTATTTTTTCCTTATGTATGCTGCGAAATAAATATAAATACCTCAATTTATTAAAAAATATCATTAAATAGATTTCTTTCTTTCGTTTAGCTGCAGAATGTCTGCAAAAAAAAAAAAGCCTTACTTTATTCCAGATTGGGCAGATTCTAATCTCAATCTTTAGTGGAGAAAACAACTCCTATTATAATTATATTTGTGTTTTCAAGTATTAAGGTGCCTTTTAAAAAGACACCTCACACAAATTAAATTTACCTAAAATCAACCTAACTATTTAGCATTGCGTTGTGATTTATAAGAACCGGATTAGCCTTGTGTTGAACTGGTGATGATCATGAGTAATAATTAAATAAAACGTACATTTGTTATCCAATGTATATATATTAAATTTTATTAAGTTTCTTAAGTGGAAAACTAAACAAAATTATCAAACA